CTCTCTCCTCAGGTTCTACATACCAGCTAACAACAAAAGGCTTTCCAGCACCAACATCTGAAAACAAATCACAACTTAAAAGGAGATTCAATACAGAAGAATCATTATAATGACTAGTAAAATCACCTAGTGTGACTTTACCCCTGATAGGAGGCAGTAAAATTTACATACATTTACACTGAGTGGAAGTCACCAAGTGGTGCCACAAAATACACACAGTGAGCAACAAGAATAGTATTCAGAAATGCCAGTGCTTTCTCTGAAAGCTTTTGAAAGTATGGACACTGATTTGGGCAAGAGGTGATACAGAGTTGTGAGAGACCCTGACATAAGGATTTGGAAAAGCAACAGGGCGCGGAATGTGGGGATTTAAACAGTAACAAGAGGAAAATGGAAGGAAAGAAACTAAAATAATCAGCACTCTATAAAGCAGAATTCAAGAGCCCTGACTGAACCTGCTCATACCACCAGTCTCATGAATATTTCCTACACAGGACCTCCATCTCAACCCAATTCTGTTGTGTGAACTACCTTCTCCTACCAAGCTTAGGTGGGACCATGTAGTCCAGAAGCTCTACACAGAGTCAAAGCCTGTGCTTTTTAGGGGGATTCCCAGTAATTAGGAACTGATTTGCCGACACCTAAGTTTTTCAAACATTTACAAAACAGCAGCAAGGGAAAAAAATTAATACCAAGAAAGAAAAAAAAATAATTCCCTGTACGCAAAAGCATGGGATCTTATTCAAAATTTACATCTGTTTCCAGTTCTCAGTACCAAACTAAGAGTGCACAAAGTTTGTTGAGCCTATCCACCAGAGCTAAACTTTGGACAGGTGAAAATCATAACTGAGAACCCCAGTTTTGGCCCTGTAAGTAAGAGGTCTTGCATAGTAACCCTTGTATGACAGCAACATGGTATTCATTAGAAATAACAATAACAACAGACAAAAACGTAAAACTAAAACAGAGATGATACACAGATTTGGGGATGGGAACAGAGGGTGTCCCCCTCTGTAACTAATAAACATTATGAATACAAGTTTTCTTCTCAGACTAGAGAAGTGCCTTTTATCCAATTGCTTCACAAGGATTTTTATTTCATTATACATAAGAGAATTACATGTAAATATTGCTAGTCACCAATTCAAATAACTAAATATCACTCCTTGTTCAGTACACAAGTCATCTACTCTGCACAAATCAAAGTAGATGCCTACAAAACATACAAGCTAATTGCCGCCTGCTCATCAGCTTTACCAACAGCAAGAAGATGCACTGAAACAAGGAAACTCAAAATGCACGTCAAGATTTCCAGCCTCCTCAAATGAATGTAATTCCATTAGAAAAATGACAAAATTCACAGAAGCCTGAAGAAATATCCTGTCTGCCTCTATTTTGTATCATTGAATTTTTTTTCAAAAAAGAAAAAGATTGCACAAATGAAAGTTATAGGACTATGATGATTAAGAATACCTAAAGCTTACAGTGCCTATCATCCTCACAAATTATAAGAAACACAAGTCCCGCCATTATCATACATCAGCACTTCAATATCCCTTCGCACCACAAGCAAGCATCTCCAGGAGAGCATGACTGGTTTGTTCCTTTCACCAGTATCTCCTATTTCTCTTCCTGTGTGTTCTCACCAGTGGAAAGAGACAGCAAAAACTACACTGTTTCTCCTCTGGAGTTAGAAGACTTTTGCATCTGTTATTTCTCCAATTCTGCTTTTTTTCTTTTAATCTATTTTTTACTTCTGCTTAATTCTGTCTAACTTAATTCTGTCAAAAAGTGAGAACACAGCTCAAAGCAGCAGCCAAGTTGTAGCAAAAAGCACACAGGTGCCACCTGGTATTACTTTTCATAGTGGCTCCCTGAGTGCAAGTCTTACACAAACTGTAGAAAGCAAGCTGGAGGGCACATCCCTACTCCCAGGGTCAACCACTACAAGTAGTTAGGGTACACATAGTGAAACTAAGATCACAAGTTTAGCATCTTTAAAGACAGGAAGCAATTTTTGGAATTTGCATCCACCGTCTCCGGTTAACAAAGTTTCCAATACTGAAATATTGGAATAATCTCTGATTTAACATTTGCAATCGATTTCAGAGAATCTTTAACACCAACTCATTTCATGCAGCAAAGCAGTATCGTCACACAGCCTAAATATTTACTACAACTTTAATGGAAATCTTTGCCTGATTTTTTTTTTTTAAGTAATGAATAATGAATATTGACTGTACTTCAGATTTTTTTCTTTTTCTAAGACAGAAATCCAGCTGTAAGCAATTAGAAACTATTCTGTAAAAATAAAGGTATTCCTGTAGGACAACAAATAATCAGTCGTCAGTACACAATATTCTCTAAGGAGAATAATGCAACAAACTGACCTAGATATTGCTGCCTTTTGCTGATGCAGGCAACTTCTGCAGTACAGTACAGGGGAACAGGGGATCCAAAGTATTTTTTTCAATTAAAATTCTTGTACTTACCACATAAAGAAAGAAAAGTCAAATACAACATCAGTACTCTGAAGAATGACAAATGGGAATGCAAGGTTGTGTGGTGGGTTTTTTCTTTGAAATGAGATTACCAGAGCTGAAAATAAAACTCACTAAAATACCAGTATTCTTTGGGCACATAGACGTCTCACTTTTTTAATGAATTCTTCCAGGAAGTTCCCTGAGGTTGTGATAAAACTAATCATAGCTATGCTCATGTTTTTCTAGAGAAACATCACAATCAAGAAACAGAGTATCCTATTTGCAGCAACTCCACGTGTGCTTTCAAGTGTCAGATAATTACAATTTAAAAACAGATAACTAGTTATAATACTTTCTCTGTTTGACTTTTTTACCCTATTTGTACAACACAAACAAATATAAGTATTATGAAGAATTATTTCACCACCTTTCCATTAGTTCTCTTCTTACACATTTCCATTAAAAAAAAAAAATTAAAATTCTATTAGCACTTCCTAGCACATTCTTTTTCATTTAAAAAGAAAAGAAACTTTAATTTTCATTCTTTTGGTAGTAAATAATAAAAAACAAGCAAGTAATTTTAAGCTTTCCGACCATTTGCCAAAGAAATTGGAGTTCGCATATGACAATGGCATCTAAGATTACTCCATAGAGGGAGACTAGCCATTATTGCTTCAGCTGCCATTTTGAAACTTTCAGACACTTAAATTCAACCGCAGACACCACAGAACTACTTTAATCTCTTATACTATATATGCTTGATACCGCTTCCATGTGCAATAACCACAGAGCACGGAATTCAGTGTCCTAAGATGAAAGTTTTATCCACATGCTAGAGAATTTTGACTAAATAAAACTGTATTTAGAGTGTATATGCCACAATTTCCTAGCTAAAAATTCAGAATTTCAGAAGCACTTTTGGAGTGGTGTAAAGGAATAAAATTTTATTAGCTTTAAAAAATTATCTTCTAGTTCTGCTGAATTTAAACATGACATTAAGTTTACAGTATATTACAATAACTGAGAGGCACGCTGGAAGCATAAAACATTTAATAGTTTGTACTGGGGCAGCTACACCAAATGGTAGACTATTTTTTTAAAACATAAGAAATATGAAGCCTGTACACTGAAACAGATGCAGCCGTCAGTATCACTACCTCAGCTTTGCTACGTCCAAAGATAAAGTTTGCCATTCTTGAAGTTCAGCTGAATCAATATTAGAGCAGCAGCACAGTCATCCCTTTTAAAACCCAGGATAGTTTTACCTGCCACAATTAACCCATATGTGTCCCTGACCATATTCCTCTCAACTTTGTTTCATTGTACTATGTATAGAAATTCCAAACAATCGAATAGAGTTTTTTCTTATTAACTTCACAGTCAACACCTTATCTGTAGCTCTTAAAAACACAGCCTTCCCATTAAAGGTAAAGACCAGCCTGTACATCTTAGATGCATATTGATGTCTGCAGTAATTCCATTACTGTTGGTTTATGCATAAAGAGCAGATGGGAAAAAAATTTAAATGTGCTTCAAAGGCAAAGAGTTTGTAATCTCATTAACAATAATAATCAATAGTGCCTAGAATCATAAACTTCCACTATCTGAGAACTTTCTCATGATGGCCTTCCAATCCAAAGTGTTTAATCAAAGTTCACTATCATTACTTAATTGTTAAAAACTGCACATCTGGTTTTGCTCTTTATTCCATGTCATCTTATTAGCTAATATATTAAGCAAATCACTACTGAAAAGATTTTTTTCAATAACAAACAAGTCAATGCAGAAAATGCCTCTAACAAAGACTTCGGGAAGCTTACTAATCAAAGCTTGTAAGAGCCATCATTCTGAGAAAAATCACAGAATATTAAAAAACAGTAACAAAACTTCTGCTGAACAAATTGCACACTCTTGATTTTGTTGAATTTAATCACATTGTACATGAACAGCAGCAAAAAATGGATGCCACGTAACAAAAATTCAGTTTAAAATATCTTCAGTAAAACACACATTTTAAAACCCAAAAGTATCTACTCTGAGTTCTAAGTTCCCTTTACTATGTTGTACTACAAGATATCTGATGGCACTAAAGATGAGAAAAGTTAAAGTTTAAAGAAACAAGTTCAAAGTTCAATTATTTCTGTTTCTTTCCAGGTATCAAAATTCCCAGTTTAAAAAAAATGCTTTCAAGAACAGCAGAGCTTAGAAGAGGTTTAAGAGCAAAAGTCAGTTGCCTTCACATGTACTAAACTCAGCACAACTTAAAAACATCTAGAAAGGCAACTAGTTTTGAAGAATATATACATTAAGCTGCACACAAAACTCACTACTGAGAGGAATACATATTGCTGGAAGTATAATACCCACTATAAAAAGAACAACTACAATTAAAATTTCAATGTCAGTATAAGGTACTACCTGATCTAATAGTTCTCCCTTTCATCTGCTTCCACAGATTCTCACAAATAACCACAGGAAAGATTTCCTTATGCGTTAATTTTCTGCAATATGACTTACCAGCTTTGCTGCTTTTCCATAATCAATCCATCGGATAGTGGCGAAGTTTGTTGACTCTGCACAGTTAAAACCATGGTTAAATCCTGCGTGGTATCCATACGGGAAAGTGATTATAAATTCTCCTGCCTCTTGTGTAACCTATAGCACAAAACCAAAAAATCCCAAAGTGAATCACATTACAAAAGCAGTCCTGTTCCTGAAGCAATGAAAACTATTTGCCCTTGTTCATCCCAAAGTAACACACTGGATACATCTGGATGCCCTCAGGCAGTATCTTTAAATCATTTTGGATAAGAAAGGACGAAGAAGAATTAAGCACAACTGCCCTGCACCAATTCTTCAGCCTTATAGCTGTGGCAATGTGCTCCCCCCACCTTCTGTGTAAGCCATAACCACCAGCGCAGTCACGGTGGCTGCACCTGGCTTAAGTTGGACTTTGAGGAGATGGATGGCAACACAGTAGACAAGGCCTATCTTGCACAGTGACCCACACAACCCACTGGTATGCAAATACAAGTCAATCAACTTACTCCATAAATAGTGGACAGCCCAGGGCCGTTGACATCTCCTGCATACCAGTGAGATGCATGCCAGAATCTCCCCTTGAGTAGGGACACCTCTCAAGATTACTCCTCGAGGCTGACAGAGTCCATATCGTTTCAGATACTCAGTAAATGATTAATAGCATGCTAAACTTTGAAATCTTAGCTAAGCAGTATAAAGGATTGATTGTGCACATATAATCCTCTAGACATAAACCACTGACCAAGTCTGGGACTAAGTCTGGTCCAGCCACACCTAAGGACCCCTCTGAGGAAGAGTTTAGAACGCAAGGGGGTCCTTTCTGAATCTCATGACTCAACAAGAGGGTCTTCCTGACAGTTTTGTCTGACCCTGTCCTCTGTGCAGTAAATAATCAAGTGCACATTGCCATAAAATCTTGTTAAACTACTGTCGCACTTACTATCAAACTTGGTTAAATCGATGTTTTATATCAATACACGTATTGCTACTTCTCCCTTACGAGCGAAGTGCATCACTCTCATTCCGCAACAAAAGTGGCTAATACCAAGGCGATTCTTCCATTGGAAATGCCATGCAGAACATCTCAATGTAAAGCCATTAAAACATCACTTTAGATATTACATTAAAAGAAATTTTAATCTGCCCTTGTCCTTGCCCAATTTCTCTTTATGCACAATTTAAGAGAGCAGAAGGACGCTGGCATTATTGATAATGAGAGTTCTAAATACCTAAAGGACAAGGGGCCTGGAAGGACATTCTCAAAGAGGAAAAGCTTGACTACAGTTAAACTCTGACATTGCTTTAGAGAATGAGCAAGGGTAGTTCCTTACAAGTACAGTGAAAAGCAACCAAAAAGAAAAGTGTGCTGAGGCCCCTGACTCAACAAGAAGTTATTGAAAGCAGAAAAAAATAAATCAACTAAAAAAAAACCCAAAAAAAATCCATACTGCCATAGTAATTATATTTTGTAAAGCCAAAGAGAAACCCAATTCCTAGTAGTTATAAAAGGTATAAAAGGCTTCCAGAGTAAATTACAAAGATAAGTGGGGTAAGGTAAGCAAATCACTGGTCAGGATACCCTCTTTCAAGAGAGAAATCTCATCTTCATATAGTGGAATTGACTGCTGCTCTCCTCTGTACATGAAAAAAAGGAGAGACAGCACTTCTTGCCAGTCACTAATATTCTCTCCACTCAGAGACAGCTTTAATCTCTTGAAGTCAAACCACCAAACACTGACACATCAAGGACAAGCTAGTTACAGACTAGAAATGGCACATCGTCTTCTGAACTATCTGATAAATAAACTAGAAGATTCAGAATTAAAGAGTTAAAAGAGATTCCCCATACTCTGTTTCACACGCCTTTTTACATGAAATGTTCACCAGATGCCAGGCCCACTAAAAAGCAGAACACATTCATTTAAATGAAGCAAATAATGTGAGCAATGACCAATGACTGTTCAACAAGATGTATTTGTTGATTATAGGAAAATAAGAAGACTTCTTGGAGATTAAATAGGCTGTTTTCTTTGTGTGACAAAGCTTTGCATAAGCAATACAGTAAGAAAAATTGCAAGGACAAATACTACTCTTTTTAGAGAAATACACTTAGGATTTGAAATTGCAAAAAGGGAGAGTTAAATTTTAAACAAACATCAAAATTAAAAGTGACAATTCCAAACATTTTTCTTATTATCATGTCATGTCTAAAATCTCAGCTTTTTGCTGGCGCAGTTGTCTTATGTTAAATTTCCAGTCTTAGAATCCCCCCTCTTTCTTCTCCTTTAAAATTCTCATCTTACAGTTTTACGGATTCTTTTCGTGGTTTTGCTCAATGCAAGAATAAATACACAGGGATAGCACTTCAAGATATATATTTCTGATTATATTATGGGATGAAGGAAAGAGAGGAAAACAAGAAAAACACACTTAGATAACATAGCTAAATTAAAAAATTGCATCTTATGTTTTGCATTTGCACTCTTCAAGGTTCATTTTTTGTGGGTTCATATTTAGTATATACAGGCAAATGTACATACAGGTGCATATATTACAACTGCTACTGTAACACTCCAACAATCACTGTGGGAATGTTTAAGAAAGATTATTCTCAAGGCTAACAATTCCAAAACTTATCTCAATACACCCTCCCACTGCTGACAGTTTAGCAGGTGTTCTATTGCAACAAGCAGCAGTTCAGCTGCCACCTGGTAGGCGTAGGCTGACTTATCAGCATTCAGCACATTTCCACTTCTATCACTTTGAGCCATGAGACATCACAGCCTGGTTCTCTCTTTTCACTTTCTCACTGAATCCCATTAATTACAATTACACTTGGGTACAGTCTGCTTCCTCCCAAGACTAGGTGACAGAGTGAAACTTAAATATTTAACTATTTCAGGAATAATCGAGACACTGAAATAAGAACATCAAATCCCCTCCCCACCTCAAATGTGTGGTACTGAAAACAAATATGCTGGCATTCTGAAATATGCTACTTTAAACACCAACCACTGAAAATTACACTGTTCAGAGTAATGTTCTGTAAATTCAAAACTATAAATATAGTTATAAAACTTTCCAGCTTGGAAGGTTTCAACTGACACTTCATGATAAAGCACAAGGGTATGAAGGGAATCAGTACTTACCTATACATTACAAAAACTGAACTCAGCAACTACATATCCATATGATAATATATCGTTGAGAAAACAAACTACTACTTAGATGTGTAATTTATTCAATAAAGCTTGCTTTCCAAGGCAGGCAGTGTCATTCTAAAGACCTAAATTTCTTCAATTTTATACACAGGTTGATTTTAGCATGAAAAAATTAAGTGATATTCCAAAAAGGATACAACAAATCCCACCTGTGCTGCAGACACTGTTGGTAACACAGGGATGCTTTAGTTCTTGCTTAGCAGTGCTTACACAGCATCAAGGCCTTTTCTGCTTCTCACAGCACCCCACCAGTGAGGAGGGTGGGGGTGCACAAGAAGTTGGGAGGGGATACAGCTGGGACAACTGACCCCAACTGACCACAGGGATATTCCGTATTGTATGATGTCACGCTCAGCATATAAAGCTGGGGGAAGAAGGAGGAAAGGGAAATGTTTGCAGTAATGGCATTTGCCTTCCCAAGTATCTGTGATGCATGACTCAGAGATGGCTGAACGCCTGCCTGCCGATGGGAAGCGGCAAATGAATTCCCTGTTCTGCTCCGCTTGCACGTGCAGCTTTTGATTAATCTATTAAACTGTCTTTCAACCCACGAGTTTTCCCAGTTTTACCCTTCCAATCCTCTCCCCCGACCCACCGAGGTGGGGGAGAGGGAGTAAGCAAGCAGCTGTGTGGGACTTAAGTTGCCGGCTGGGGTTAAACCATGACAATACTATACATGAAAGCATTCACTTAAATATTATTTCTATAGGCTACGTTTCATACTGTTAGGAAAACAGCAACTAAAACAGATAGAAAGCACTGCATTATCCTATGTTCTAGGCCAAGAAACATGGGTAAGCTAAGTTTGTATACACAGGTTCACATGATATCAATGAACAAACACCACCACCAAAACAAAACCCATAATAATAAACAAGGAGTGTGGCGAGGACACTTTACGGGACCATATCACAGTGGTAATAGAGTGAGAAAAACTCTGAACAGCTTAAAACAGTCTGTGCAGTGGGAAACCAAGAATCATAACCCTTTAATGGTCAAAAGACTTTTAAAAACTCATAGAACAAACAGATGTTCAGGCAGCGGGCCTTCTGAATCAAGCTCTATTTGTCTGAGTAAGCTTACAAAGTTCTTGAATTTAGAATTTGCAAAGCATTCAGGATACAGAATAAATATACTTAAAGAAAAAGCAATACAGTAGAAACAATTTTATTAGCTGGCACCTATAGGAAGTTCAAAGTGGAAAAAATAAGGTAGAAAATATTGTAGGAAAGGAGAAGAAACTCAGTACTTTGGTTGTTTTTAAATGCAGCTATGTATTAAATTCATCCACAAAAAAGAAAGCCTGTCATTCTTCCCACTTTCTGTTTATATAATGTTCTTACCAAACGTCCAGTCTGCCACTACCTAGCAGCACAAAATAATCATTCACTCTTTCTAATCAGTTACAGCCTTTAAAATATATTTTAAATTAAATAACGGTTCTTTTGGGTTTACTCCACCTTAAACTTTTTAGATCATAATACTGATAAAGTATATTTAATTGTTTAAGAAAAACAATATACAGACACAAAGAAATGAAACACACATTTTAAAATACTAGGTATAGAACTTAACACAGCTATTTAAGAAGTGTTTCAGTCAACAGAAAATCACAGGCAAGCTTGCATGGAAATACAATAGAAATAAAAAATATTAGTAATGTCTTATAAATCACAGAAACTTTTAGGATAAAGATTATGATGGCTACAAGTGTTTTCTGCTAGAAATTTCCAAGCTAAACCATGTAGAAGTCCTAATACTACAAGCATTTTTTTCATCTTTTCATGGAGTCACTGCCCAAAAAATAAGAAAAATAACAATTTTGCCTCACCTTTACTATAAAAAATCCTTACAGTAAACAATCTAATTCAATGCATGAATGTACAGTTTAAAAATAAACACTAATGTACCTTATCAAAAGGAATTCCATACTTTTTCAACATTGATGGAGAAATCAGAGTCATCTTGTGGCGAAGAAAAGCGTCACATCCTTGAGAGCTGCTTGGGAAGAACCCTAATAAGGCAAGATAAGCAAAATTTGGTATCTTTGAATTAAAACAAGCAAGGAAATTTGTAATATTTTACAATACATAATACTGTTTAACCTTGTTTTACAATTTGTTATCACGTCATTGCTAGGTGCCAAGTGATTCATATAAAAATCAAATACATCTCCGAAGTTTTTCAACTGATTTTCAAGGAGAGAAGTTGCAGGGGTTTGGGGTTTGTTTGTTTAAGAAGTGAAATAATTTAAAATAAATTTGAACCTGTAAATTTAGGTGTACTTTTCTTAACCTTTACAGAAATATTTCATTGTTGGGGTTTTTTTTTTTTACATTAATGTTCCTTAATGCACACATGAAAATCAACTGCAGTATATCAATTTAGAAGGATTCCACATGGACTAGGTTTACCTAGCACTTCCAAACTATCTATGCAGTAAACAAACACAACTTTATATCTAGAAACACTAGAAAGTATGGCTACTTTCCCAGAGATATCTGGTATAACTAAAAACAGGTTGGGGGTTTTTTTTGCTTCTTTATATCTTGTCTTGATTTCTATAAACAAAGATTGCTTTCCATGTTTCAACTTCCATGAGTATTTAGGTACCACTCCACAAACTGTGCTTAGTTCATTAAGTAATTATATAATCCTGTTGATGAGAACATAGAGATAAATGAACGAGGGGAAAAGTGAAAAATTAAAGACAAGGTTTCAGTGTTATTGAACTCTGGTATCTGACCCTCTAACTAGGGTGTGAACAGCACCTCAGGTACAGTTCAGACAAGCTACCCAATCTTTCTTTCCAACATCCGGTTCTTTTCTCTTCAACCCAATTATATTACAGTAAGAAACCACTATATTAAAAGGAAAATGGGAGAAGATGAGAAGGAGGGGGAAAGTTTCCAGAACATCGCTAGTTTAGTCCTTCCTGACCTCCTTTCAGATTTCATTCTAGAAAGAAGGCAACACTCTCAAAAACTGAAAACACAATTCCTACAGACAATAAAACAAAGGCAAAGAAAGGTATAGTAGTTGATGAAAGCAAGAAGCTCCTGGAAACATCAAATTGAAAAATGGAAGGAATATAGTGATAACCATCTAACCACCTACTACTTCCTCTGAATACTTGCTCTCAATCCCTCTTCCGCTTCAGTACACATGTACTACTTGCTCCAGAGATGAATATGTTGGAGCCAAGAGGAATATTTTTGACTGTGTTATAACGCAACATCACAAAAGTCTCACAAAGTTACAGCACTATCAGAACTAGGTTGCTAAAGGGGAATAATTTACTTGCTAATCAGCACAGATGAGAAAGTCTTTTATTACCTTTATTATTGTTTAAAAATTATTAGACTGCACAGTCTTTTTAGTGTTTGTACCAGACTACAAGAACCACCACGAGATGTACTATGAGTAACTGCAATCCATACATTTAGCAGTCCGGGATAATACGTAATTTTACTGTATCAAGTCCATAACCTTCGAAAGTAATCCCTTTCTGTAAAGTTCAACTTTATTCATTTATTTAGCTTTCTCTGGTAAAGTATATTTTTCAATGTTACCAATACTTCTTAATATTAACAGTTTACTATATCGTATGTCATTTACTCTCAAGTGATTTCAGAGATTTCACAAAGATTGGCAGGCTACTCCTAAAAAAAAAGTTATTTAGAAAGTAATCCTTTTAAAAATTTCTTTTGACAACTCCAACCAGAATGCAAGCTTGTGGCTGAAATCTAAGAAAGTTACAAACAACACAGAACAGCAGAACAAAACCTGCACAAAATCACAAAACCTATTAAGAGAAATTTACAGAACAATTGCTGTGGTTACAGAGCCCTCACAGTGAAATCAAAGTGGAATCTACATGCTCTGTACCACTAGAAAAAAAAAAGAAAATACCTTTTGACTCTGTCAAAGTTTACTGTTACACACAAATTTTCCAGTCTCATTCACCTCATTTTCTCAAAAGCACTCCCCTTCAATGAACAAGGGAAGAAAGGAAGGCAGTATTCACTCATTACAAAACTGTTTCTCAGAAGGTCTTTTGTTCTGCCCAGGCTAAAAGTAAGATCACACAAGATTTTCTTTCATGAAAGAAAATGCCTGTGGGGGAACTGGTTAGCAGGTGTAAAAAAATACCTAATAGCACACTGGATAAAGGACACTGCAATAGAAACATTACAAGAGCCTTACAGATACATTAAATGCAGGCCAATTCAAGACATGCCTACAACAGACCAGAACCATTCTCAAATACCAACCTGTGTTAAAATTACCAATTTACAGGATTACCAGTTAATCCTGGATATTTAGGGAAATCCCACATCCAAAAGAAAAAACACTGAAATTATCTAAAATGTAACTACCATCGGCATTAAGTAGATTCCTAGCTGTGCCAGAGGAAGACAGCATTCCCACACACAGGACACTGCTGCACTAAGAGTCTTTGATGTGTACATTAAATGGTTCAGGGATACAGAACATTTTAAAATAAGTTCAACTCTATAAATTATTGAGGGACACTGAGTACTGCTATCTGGAAGGCTCATTTTCTTTTCACCCCAAGAGTATCATTCCTACATATCACACACGGCTCATATCAGGTAACCACATCACATCACAACTACTACTCACGCAAACTGAACTGGATTTGGTTCCATAGCCTGGTTGATGAGCATTTTCAAGATATTTGGAACACTTGTCTATGATACTAAGAATGTGTCCATCCTGTTTTCAATTAAACAGCTACAATCATACATGGACAAACTACAATACTATTCCCAAAAGAGTAATTCTACAAGTCCATTGACTTGAACAGGGTGATTGGCTATATATTACCTTGTATGAACAATCATATCACATTTAGGCCAATAATAATGTCATCATTTAAGCACACGCACATAAAAATCATAATCTTAGGGAACCTTCAAATCAAGTTCTGACTAGTCAATGAATGAGGCTAGACTTCCTATCCTTCTGTACATTTCCATACTCAAGTCCTCACCTGAAATTTTACAGTAAGGGTGCTGTATTTCCAGTTTATTAATTGATAATATAAATATAAAATATAAAAATATAAATATAAAACTTAGAAGAAAGAATACCCTAAAATTGCAAATACCTTTAATGTAATTAAAAGTAATCCAAATTAACGCAATTAAGCTCAAAGTTATGATAATTTTTTACTTATGTAGATCTCCATTTAAAGGACTTAGAACATACAAAATACTAATCACAAATCACTGATTAGTACTCTGGGAACACAGCCACAGATGAAAGGAGGACTGAGTTCTAGTCATTTTATTTTTAGATTTTACTTCGACAGGTATAAATACAAACTTCATACAACTTATTTTAAATTAATTTACAGTGATTTAAACTGATTTAACTTTCTGTATTGCACACAAAAAAACAGGAGTATGTGTTTGCACGACAACAATCCTCATGAAGAAACAGTGGCAATTTGAATGCTATACAAAGCACAGAGTACAAATGCCAAAAAAGAAGCAAGTGCTGTGAAATATGACTGTTGTTATGCCGAGATGAACATGTTACAGCCTTAAGTTTATTATCTCTTAGATATGACTTTCCTAACTTGACTTACATAACTATCAATTGATTCAAAGTTCAATTCTTCAGCTGCTCATTTTTTTCAGATTCAAGACCCTTAGAAGTCATGTAAGTTCTACATCAAGTTTAATTTCAACATTTATACTTGTTTTCATACAATAGGTAATGATGTCTGCATTAAATGAATTAATTTATACTATATACCATACAAAGGTTTTTATAACTCCTCTATAGAGTTACAGTATATTAAACTTTAGTTTCTTCTTTAACATAATTGAACACCACAGATAGGTGTCATCTCCTCTCTAAAAGTTTCTGCAATTAAATGATCTTTTAAAAGATTTGAAAATCACTTCAGTCATTTCTGATTTGCCACTCTGATTCTATCCTCTTTATTTTCTAACCAAACAAAAAATCCTTAAGAATACCATAGTATTACAGATTAACATAACTGCAATTTTTATACTTCTTGTTAACAGCTCACTTGAGGTTTTTATTACATTTATGTCTACATAAAATTGAAAAAAAACTACATAAATGAAAAAGCAGCTGAAGGGCAAAATCTAACTGTTGTCTTTATTAGACGGAAGCCTAATGTCTTTCAGATAAAGTATTTGTAGGTGCCACAGTCAATCAAGATTTCAATGGAAAGCAAAAATGAAAGCATTCATGCACAACTGGCATGCATGGTAATTGTAATGTGCAGACAAGATAATGAAAAATATCCTAGCCTTCCTTTAATTTTATGTATCAACTGCTGCTTTGACTCAGACAACCTTTCACATTTAATGCATTATTTTAATTATTTAGGAGCATTTGATTAATTCAGTAAGCTTTTGGTCATCAGAGCTAACCTTCTTGAATAAACTACCTTTGTTTTTCTTCAGATGTTGCACTCGTGCAAAAATGAGATTAAAAATATTTTCATACACATGTAATTAAGTATGAAGGACTCATTTACACTATGTTTTATTAATATTTACCATTAAGTGACTTGCAGCCATTCAGCTTACTTTAACATTTTCAACTTTTTAAGATATCTCACTGTAAAACTCAGACTGTATTTTTTTAGAAGGCAGCAGTTGAAAAGCAGAAATCACAGAGGTCAACCTCCACAGCATCTCGTCCCATCCCCCACCATTCCCCACCCCCAAAAAAAAAAAAAGAACATGTAAGTCAAATCAAGAATAAAGTCCATCTTTTTATATAAAGAACTACAACATCATCTTCTACATTCCATCCTAAGCTATTAGCTGGACCAAAAATATAATGAGAACAACTTACAGAAAAACACTGCAGAAGACATTAAAGTCAAATACTGAAAACAGGAAATGTCAGAGAGGGTTATCTGTGAAACTAACTCGCCTATCTTACATTGCTGTAACAATAAAAATCTCTGTTACCAGTATGTAGTTTTTCTACATTCACTGAATATAATGGAATAAACAACTATTCGAAATTT